GAGTGAGCCCTTGAGGCCTGAAGCAGACCACCGTCATCACAGGCCCCTCTTACTGATGCCTCTGAGGCAGCTTCCCAGGGACCCTGAGCTGGTAGGGAGTGGCAGCATCCAAATGTTTCAGCTGTTTCAGAATGCCCCGGTCCCCACTGTGGTGAATGCACATGTCTCACTTCATATGCCCCTCTTTCTGTGCTGATAAGGAAACTGCAGCAGAGAGAGTCAACTTCTCAGGGCCTAGTCAGTGCAAATGATGGTCCCTAGCCCGTGGCCATTATGAGTGTCATATTCATAGGACACTTTGGGACTGTGAGTCAGGAAGTTTCCCCACTGCTCAAGAATATGGGAGGGCTTTGGATTAGGAAAAAGATCCCCCCTCCCCCACACATGCACACATAATTTCTCAATGTCAAGGGGTTCCAAACTCCAGAAAGGCCCGCCCCCAGATTCAGCACTGCATGAAGGAAATGTGCTTGGGGGTCTCTCCCAGTCATCTCAGACCTGCTTTCAGGCCCCACCTCAGACCTCAACTTGGCAGAAATCACAGAGGGCCAGCACCTGGGATGGAGCCAGGCAGCTCGCTGTCATAACCTATGGGAACAGCATGAGGGTACAAATGTGGTAGTGGCTAAGGAATGATCAGGAATGTTCTGGAGACTGTGGTCCCAGTACAAGGATCACGTCTTAGTCCTTTCTGTTACTGACTAAAAATGTATTCAGGGGAAGAAACTGCCTTTAGGAGTCTAGAAAAGGGACCTTGGACAAGCCTAACTGTCCTGTGGGAAACCGCTGGCCAGTTCTAGTGACAGCCCAGCCCAGCGGATGAGGGCGAGGAGAGGCCCCCACAGGGACATGGCCCGCCCTGCTTAGCGCGGCAGGAGGAGCCAGAAAATCGCAGGAGAACCCGCCTCCACCTCAAGGAGGCTTCAGAGTCTGTATCTGGTCCCAGCTACCTTAAGGAACGGTCAGATCTTCCCAGAAGGAAGTGGTGTCTGCCAGGCCAACTCTCCCAAGACTGGGAGACCTGTCTGTCCACACTGCGCCTGGACAGATTCTTCCTGGTGCCTCCTACCTTCTCCTCTGGCTCCTCCGTGCCCACTGGGTCTGACTGCTCCATGGAGCTCTGCTGAGCTGGCACCCCTTCCTCTTCCTGAGGAGAACAGACACCAGGGGCCAGAGGCCTGGTGTAAACCCTGACTGCGTAGCCAATCCTGTGTGTGACCCTGAGCAGCCTCCTGGGCCTCAGTTTCCTGGGCTGTATGATGGAGACAATCCTAGTGCCTGCACCATGGTGTTCAGAGGTCATTCCTTCTCTCCTGTACCTGCTCAGGGCTAGGCCAGGTAGGGTTTTGTGTGGGGTGCCTCGGCTGTGACTGACTGAGCCCTTCCAGGTTTGGTGCCTGATAGGGTCTTGGATTATCAGGCTCTGCTTGGGTCTCAAGCAGTAGCTCAGGGGGCATGGTGTGGGACTTCAAAGCACTTCTGCTTGGTCTTCACGATACAGCAGGTGGGCCTCGGGTGGATTCCTTACTGTCTTTACATAAACAGCACCAGGTTTCTCCTTTGCTATTTTGACAACTTCTACGGAGAGAACCGCAACAGAATTAAATACAAGGAAAACATTTTTGACAGTGTGTGAAAGACACGGGCAGAAATGTGTCCAATTTGGCAGAAGGTACCCTATGAACAGCGATGGATGGGTCCATGAGGGGGTGTTCGCTGGCAGGGTGCTGGGGAGGGAGCTGTACTTTCCTGCTCTACATCCACTCCCACGGTCCCACGTGGGAAGCAGGGTGGCTCTGTGGGCTTCCCTGCCCCTCCCCATAGACCCTTCATCCTGGAAGTGGTGGACTGGGGATGACCCCACAGGGCTGAGATGGTACCAGCTTCTCCAATTCTGTGGGGCTCCTGGTGTGCCCCTAAGACCTATACTGGCTCAAGAAGCTGCTGCACGGAGGGGCCAGCCCTCAGGAGCCAGAACCAGCCCAAGCAGACACCTCAGTTAGTGGGAGGGGCTCCCTTGGAGCTCAGCAGTTACCGTGTCCACACCGTCCCCTATGGTAGACAGGGCATGGCTGGAGCCATAATACATGCATCCCTGCACAGCTAGACACATAACCCAAATAATCGCCTGTTTTTCCTCAAGTCACACACTGCCCTCATTAGGGCGGCACCCACAGCCCAACGGGTGTTCTGTGGTGACGTTGACATCCATGTGATGGCCCCTCTTGGTATCTTGCATGTGGCCATGATCTCTTCAGCCGGTGACAGCAGGTATCTGGCTGGGCCCAGGGAGGGCCAGGATGGGAGCAGCCAGTGGGCTAATGTGGTCACCTGGGTACATGTCCTGTGGCCTGTGGGATGTCCAAGTGGAGTCCCAGAAAGTGCTAGAACTGGGAAAAGCAGGCTCGGGAGACAGTGCGGCGGTTCTCTGCATGTGGCAGACATGAGCTGTAGGGATGTTGACTCAGGGGAGGGAGGCCAGGATGTGGACTGGGGCAGCCTCTGAGGAGCACACATGGGGACAGCATCCACAGGGGCAAGGGCAGGGTGGGGCAGAAACCAGGAAGGGGCGACAGGCAGATGAAAAGAGGGCCCAGCGGAGGAGACGGGGAGGGAGCCATAGAAGTTTCCCAGAAGAGGCCAGGCTTCAGAGGCCAGACCACTGTAGACAGAGGCAAGAGAGAGGGGCAAAGACGGCGGGGAGCAGGGGTGGGGACGTGAGTCTGGGGTGCAGCGAAGGTCCCTGGGCAGCTCTCCTCAGGGTCAACTGCCCTCCAAACACACCAGATGCCCCCAGGTGTCCTGGACCCTGTTTGACTCAGACATGGTTTGGAAAGGAGACTCCGAATGTCTAAGAATTTTCCTTTGTCAGGTCAGATGGGAGCTCCAGGTTGGACTTCAGGGCCAGATTCCCAGGGAGGTCAAAGGGGTTGACAGATCAGGTTGAATATCCAAACCTAAGTCTCACCCTGGGACAGCTAGAGCTCCACCCGACACTAAAGTGTGAAAACAGTGAGCTGCCACAGCAAGACCAAAAAACCAAACACAAGAGTTTAAGCAACAAGGAAAAGAAGAAGGGTGGGGGGAGAAGAAGAGGGGGAGGGGGAGTTCATGCCCCACATAACTGGGAAGCTACGAAGGTGGGCAGCCTTCAAGTACGGCTGGATCCAGGGGCTCTGAAAGGGTCAGCGTTCTCTCATCCTCCTTCCACCTCCACTGTAATCTCAGCTCTGCCTCCCTCCAGAATGTCCAGACTCTCTCCTACTGCAGATGGCTTCCTCCCTGTGGCCAGAAGAGACATCCTGTGGCAACCCCCATTCCAGCCCACAGCCCCACCACCCCCACCACCCCACCCGGTCTGACAACCCCAATAGGAAGACTTCTCTCTGAGCCCAAGGGAAAGTGGTGCACTGCACATGCCCAGTCACGTGGGAAGGGGCAGGGCACTGTGACTTAGACTTCCTAGAACCACACCTCGGGGGAAAGATGTTGGTTCCACAGGTGGTATCAAGAAGAAACCCAGATGGAAGTGTCCCCAAGAAGGTGACAGAGACCGACGTCACAGCACACACTGCTCCCGTGCACAGTCAGAGTGGACTTTTATTAGGAAATCACCCTGCAAACACACCGAGAAGTGCTGTGCTGTGGGTTCCACGCGTTTCCTGAGGAAGGGGATCACAGTATTGGAGCTGTCAGAGGGACAGGGAGCCTGTGAGTGGGGACTGCTCGGTGCTGCCTGTGGCCAGCGCTCCTTCTCAGCAGCATGACTCAGCCATCAAGACCCAGCACACAGACGCAACACGAGAAACACGCCAGAGCACACACATCTGCGCTACACGTAAATAAATAATAAATACAGAATTCCATTTGCTGTTGTCCGTACCTGAAACAAAAGGAACCAAAGGGGTAAAGAAAACCAAAAAGTCTTTCTTTCCATTGGACCCAGGGAAAAATATCCCCAAATTATCAAAATTCCTCAGTTACAAAATACTTTTTTAAAAATTCCATTATTAAAAGAATAAATAACAAAATATATAAAAAATAAGTTGGTTGCATCAAAATTATAAGAAGACTTCTATATATAGAAGTTACAGCAAGATTTTTTTTGTGGCCTATCTCATAGTCCAATCATTAATTTTGCTTTGATTTCATTGATTTCCCTCTCATGGTGTCCTGGTGTGGGGTCTAGTTGAAATAGTACAAAATTAATAAATAAAAATGTTAAATAAATAGCAAATGTTAACATAAGAGGTTGTGAATATAAATACTTACATCTTGACAAAATTAAATAATTTACAGAATAATTAAACTAACTACTTTTTTATTTCTTCCAGGAAGTGCAATTTCTCTACGTTTAAATACTAACTTGGAATTGTAGTCACAATCGATTTGGACTCTATTTACATGTTAGGAACATTGTGTTTAACACTTTCTATTACAATTTTTTTCGCATCTTGAATGGATCTAAAAAGAAATGAATCTTGGTGGTCTCCGAATTAGGAATTTATTCCCTGACCTTGCTGACGCCGTCCCCACCTCAGTCGAGCTCGGCCGTGACCCAGGTAATGCGGCAGTGACAGGTCACGGGCACGGGTGGACACACAGAGAGCCAGAGACCCTGGCCCTGACCCAGACCTGGATCCGAAGGCTGCAGCCCCAAGAGGGAGCATGACCCCAAGCTGTACATGTCTGTGCAGGCTGGGGGTGCCAGCCACCCCTAGATGTGTGAGGTGCTTTCATGTGGAACGTCCAGGGGCATCCCAGGTTAGAGTCCTCAAGTTGACCATGGGCTGTAGGTCTATTTCTAACCCTCTGGAACAGTGCTTTATTCCATCCTTAAGACAAAACTGAATTAAATGAAAACAGAAAACACACTTGCCACATTGACCTCACCGAGCAGACGCGCACCCTGGGGTGCATGCTCCAGGCTGACACTGTCACACGCACCACCCGCACCGTGCCCACGGCTACCCTCCCAGCCTCGACAGACAAAGGAATACTGTGGTTGCAAACTCCAAAACTTCCCTGAGAACCTTGTCCATGAGCTTCCACTGGAGACTTTGAGCTGCTCTTCAGATTTCTTTCAAAAAACAAAAATAAATCACTTTGTAATACGCCATGCCTTGCCCTGCACTTGTGTGTGGAGGTCGAGACCTCCAGCCTGGCAAGCGCAACAAGAAAGACACGGATTTCCAGGCACCCCTTTGGATAAGCCCACCTGAGGCCGCCCTGGGCTGCCAACTAGTCACTGCAAGTTGGGAATCTCCACTGCGGGGGCAGGGCAAGGGAGGTAAACGATGGAGCCAAGTCAGGGTGCCCCAGGTGTCCCGAATGGCAGGGTGGCTTCTGGATGATGAGGTCTAGACCTGGATGCCCCTCACAGCCCGTTTGATGCTCTCCAGGAGGTCCTTGTTCTCGGGGTTCTGGTAGCACTCCTGGTTGGAATACATGTCAGTGAGGGTGCTCACGTAGGCATCAAAATTCTGCTCACATATTGGCTCCTGGAGAACAGAACCAGGTTAGTAAGCTCCATCCATGCAATGGGACCCATGATTTTCAGAAGCCACAGAAATCTACAGATGAACATAGAACGGCCCCGGAGACAAGCCCACACCTACCAGGGGCACCACTGGCACCCTCGGGCTGAAACAACCATGAGTATTCTGCTGTGGATTCCTAAGCTCTTCAGGAGATCTAGAGCCGCCACGGCCAGCAGCCTGCCAGGCAAAGCACCTGGATCGGGGCCCTTGTGGCAGAGGGGTGCCCTGCCCTCCTCACCTTCCCCAGAGTCCTGGGGGTCAGCTACCAGCTTAACTGTGTGCCCGCAGGGCCACATCCTGCTTACCATGTGCGGAAGGCGGATGTTGGCAAGACTTTGGATGAGGGCCTGGCTCAGGCCCGACAGCTCCAGAAACAGGGCTTCATTCTGCTCCTCGATGAGCTTGTTCTCCTCCTCGATGTTCTTTAGGCTCTTCTCCATGGAGGAGATCTGCACCAGACCGAGATGGGAAATGCCTCCTGCCATGGGAGTCCCATGGACCACATCCCTCAGGTCCTCCCAGGACACACCCAGCATGCTAACTGTGCCACACTTCAGGTATCTCTGGGAGAGGGTGAAGAGGCAGGGACCCTGGTCCCTGGATGGAGGAAGGGATGCAGTGACTGAGCCAGGGGCTGTGTGGGGTCATAGCCTTCTGTGCCACATCTGTCCTGCAGGGTCAGGGAGGAACACAGACTCCAAAGCACCCTGGGCTCAAATCCCAGCCCACCACTAGCTGTGCAGTTAAGTTCACCATGTTTCTTCTTCCTTGTCTGTAATGGGAATACTGCATCCACTTTGTGGGGTGTCTGGCCACCTTTGGGTCTTCCCCCCATCAGAAAGACCAACAAAATGCCTTAATAAAGCTGTGGAAGGCAAGCACAACAGGCAACTGCTTCTCCCTCTGCAACTCCTAGCTGAGTGGAGCCAGTCGATGACCCCTCCAGCACACCCTCACAGTGACAGTGACAACAGGGCTGACGGTCATGGGCAGTCCTGAATGCTCTGGGCAGCTCAGGTGATCAGAGAGGTGAGTCTCAGGGTCAGCACAATCCTATGCAGAGGTTCACAGCCAGTGTGGGGAAGGTGGGAAGCCTGCCCTGGGGCCCGCTCTGGAGAAAACGTGCTTGGGAGGGCAGCTCCCAACCTGACTGCATCTCAAGGGAGCCTTGGGCTGCGGCAAGCTCACACAATGTGTGTGACTCATTGAGCTATCCCCTAGGTGCAGAAAGGTGAGCTGCCTTTTAGGGGGCAATGCATGGGGTGGAGTGCTTTCTTCCAACCACATGGCTCGGAAACATCGTGCTTTATCACCTGGTGACAAGTCTTTGGCTTAAAACAGTTTGAATAGGAGTTAGGGGCCAGCCTTCTCTTTGCCTGAGCCTTTCTGCAGAGCACAGGACTCAAAACTCTCTCTAGAAGAAAGGGGGCTCTGAGTCAGTCCAAAAAGATGCTAGTGAATAAAAAGATGGAAATCAGCAAAAAAAAAAAAAAAGAAAAGAAAGAAAAAGAAAGAAAGAAGAAAGAAGAAAGAAAAAGGCAAAGAAAGAAAGGATTAAAAAAGAAAAGAAAAGAAATCAGAGGTGCTGTCCCAAGGTTACTTCGGGAAGAGAGAGAGCAGTGAGAGACAGAGGGTGGCGGTCACCCAGTGATGTGTCTCGGCACCCAGAGATGCCCCAGTACTCCTCTGCTTCTACTGCCTGTGAGCCTGGGGAAGATGGTGCATGGCAGTCGAAGACCCTTCCTGATCTCTACAGGCGAGTGCTGTTTTTATCTAGGCTTCCAAGTCACAGGAGGTCAGCATAAAAGCCTCTTGGCCAGTGGAGGAAGGGACAGCATAACAAGACACGTGGGGCCCTAATGTGTCACACTGCAGCCTCTGGGAAGAGGCCCCCCCCTTCCCATCTGTCCTTTCTGCCCTCAGATCCTGCAGGGCCTGGTCACGTCCTTGTCCTTCTGTCCCTCCAGCCGCAGGGGACAGAGCTGTGTGTGGCCACTCCTTCTGTACCCCCAGCTCTTGCTCTGGCCCCCACTCAACAGCTAAGGACAGGGCTTCTTTTCAAAATAAGACCCTCACTGCATTTTTTTTTTCTGATGGCCAATGTTCATTTGGGGGAAATCAGAGAGATATGATGCGTATACTTAATTTGTAACCCTATCACACAATAGTGACTCTTTTGGGGTCAGACACTTTCCCATAGAAATGCGTTTATCTTACAACAACCTCACAGAGTTGATTCCTATTATCATCGCCATTCTACCAGTAAGGACATCAGGGTACAGACTGATAACAGGTTTGCCAGGTTACTAAGCTGCTATACGGCAGCTCTGGGGTAGAATCAGGCTCCAGCCAGGCCCTCAGAACCTGCCCTGTGATACTATTCCTACTGACAGGGCCAGCAGTCAACCCTGATGGGACCACTAACCCGGATGGGACCCCCAGCATGGGCACCTCAGGACCCCTACTGCTAGAAGAACTACCAAAGCTGGCAGGTGTGGCTTGTTCTGAGTGTCCCTGAGCACTGCACTGTCAGCTCAGCCTAACAGCAACCTTGACGAGCTCAGCTCTCCTGCCTCATGGAAGAGGAGGCTGAGGACAAGGACCTCCTTGGGTTGGGTGGCAACACCACCCACCTGGGACTGCAGCTGCGCCACCCACCTGGGCCTGCACCTGGGACTGCAGCTGCACCACCCACCTGGGACTGCAGCTGGGCCACCCACCTGGGACTGCACCTGGGATTGCAG